CTTGAACGGTATGAGACGACGATTTGTGACATTTTTAGGAATCTATCGCGAAGCGTTTATTATAATTTCTACATCTGTACAAAAATATAGAATAGAATTTCCTTATTTCCCTATTTAACTATCTTCATAATTATACCGTAAAACAAATCTTGTCGTTTTACCGTTTAAATAAACCACAAATTAAAATGTGAAGGACGAATCAGTATAACAATCCCGAAACGCATTCTGCTTCAAACTTGAAACTTCATCAGGGTAATTTATTGATTCGTATCTTGTTAATTTCACCACAAGGTCATCAATTCTAAGACCGGCTGAACACGTACAGTCATTCCTATCTATCCCAACCCAGTATTCTCATTTCCCAAGAACATCCCACATCCTTAACTATTTGTGAACGATAAAATCTAATCTAAGTTATCACTGTTTAGTTTTCTTGTTAGTTAGTCAATCATCGAATTTTCCTGATTACTTCCTGAAACTTTTGCTTTCGCTGCAGTAGGTACTCTTGTCCACCATGTGATTCACGAGCTACATCTGCCGACTTTCGGGTGTACCAAAGACAGCGTCGGTATCGATCGCCTGCGGCATTCGTTCTTAACACTACTTATGCAAGCTGTACTTAGAAATGTGTAATTTTTCAAGCGTATCCAATAAATTCGAACACAACCCCTATAGCTACAATTTAATTTCTAAAGTCTGCCTTTTTCCTTCAGTACGAGCATTTATACCTACATGGGTACGTGTGCTCCTTCTAACGTATCGGAATCGTTATTGACAGTCCTCTTCTGCAATCTCGTAAAGTGCTGACAACGTCAGACCTCGATGTTCATCTGCTTTCCAAATATACGCCCTTCGCGTCTTTCTTAATTTAGGGTTGGAACGGGGAATGAAAAGTAGATAGATACATGTCACAGAAATATTTCAAAGGAATGAGATTGATATTTTTATATGTCTACATATATCTGTGTCGATTTAAAGTATACCGGCAAACATCGGAACAAAAGCGTACCATTCAGTACTACACAATATAGTAAACGCCCAGCTGGCAACTATTACAAGGAGATGAGAGATACACTGTTAAAATAACAAAGGGGTGACCGTAACTTCAACTTTCCTTTGTACTTGTCGTACCATCTTACAACGAAATTGAAAAGTATAATAAACTTTATTAAGGAGTCTATTGTAACCCTATTAAGTTCTTTTGTACTCCATTTTCATTTTTATTATTACAGCCCTTTTTGTGATGAAAATATTTCCATGAAAAATAACTAAACTTGAAAAGCGCGACGAGTTTGATTATACCTGTCGGATGAGAAAATTTTAATGGAATAAAAGTGCCTTTATGGATAAAATGATGAAGTACATAGCTGGGTGTATATAATTTCCTAATAACTTATTACTGTTTGTTTTTTTTTTCAAAAAAGGCTAATGATAAAAATGTTAAACGCTACATTCATAATTCCACTATGTTATGATTATTTGTTTATCCACGATAATCACTAAAATTAGGAGTCATGTCTTCAAAATCCTTTACTACCACAAAATTAATTCAATTCTTTCTTAACATTGTATTAACGTTTCTTAATTAAAACGCTCCAGAAACTTTTATATGTTCTTTTACAAAAAAAATTTACGACGTCAGGATATACCTGGCTAAGAGTCAACTGAAAAAAGAAAAGTTGCACAATAATAAAGAGGTAAAGTTACAGTGAGAGAGAAGTGGGTTTTTATTCTCTAACAAATCGAATTTGTACGCGCAGTTGCTTCACGAAGAGCGCCTCCAGGTCTACAAAAACTCCAAACAGTTTTCTTCCAAAGAAAATGGCGCGCTGCCCTAAGATAAAATAAACCATTCATCATTATAAACACACGAATACAATTGGAGTAAAATAATAAGCTATCTTATAAATGACTTGAATCGTTTTTGTTATTAGAAAACTTTGAAAAGAAACTTTTAATAACTTCAGCACAAAGTAAAGACGGAATTTCTACTTTACTTAATGGATCATTAAAAACAGGATTCCGACAAAAAACAAGCGCGTATCTATTCAAGATTCATATAAACATCCTCCTTTAAATTTCTGTGTGCTAATAGATACTTATTATAAATTCGATGTTGTCTACTCATGATACACAATTTATTCATCATCATAAGGTCGTCAGTCCTAAGACTGGTTGGACACGCACTTCCCCTTTCTCCTATCCTGAGATAATCTTCGCTTTTCCATAAAACTAGAACAACCCATATCCTTAACTATTTGCGAACAGTAATCTAAATCTAGGTCTGTCATAACTCCTCTTAACTCCTGTTTGTGCTTCCAATATGTATCTAACTAGCACTTCTTCATACCTAGGAAGGTATGACATTACCTGGTTGCTTTGACCAAAAAGCTTTTGATATTTGCCGCTGGGCGCTTTCAGCGTATGAATGTTTAGTAATAATTTTTTTCAGATCGAAAAATTACTAAAGCAACTCATGTATAAACACAGAATGTTAAATTGTTAGCTATTTAAATTTTGAACCTTTTTTTGTACAGTAAAGTTCATAATTTGCTGTTTTATTTGCATTCAAATCTTGGAAGTTGTAATTCAAAATTAAATTAGTAGCTAATTAAAGACTGGTTGGACACGCACCTCCACTCTTTCCTATCCTGAGCTAATCTTCGCATTTCCCTAAAACTAGAACAACCTATAACCTTAACTATCGTTTCTTCTTCGCACTTTT